TTCACCAATTGAAAACTTTTGATTCTGTTTCAGGAATCACAACTTCTAGACTTAAAAAAAGTTAGAAAATCAGCAAAGAAGTGAAAAGATACTAGAGTTAGATTTGTTGAACAATCAGCTGACACAGGAAGAAGAAAATCTGAAGTGGTGACAGATTTCTACAACTGTTTTATACATTTCCTTGTTTTTGATGAAAGTGAACTACAGCTAGTAGAATCTTACATCACCCCAAAGTCACTCTCTTTGACGCCAATTAAAAAATACTCATACAAATAGTTTTGTTGGGGAAAAAGGTGCTGCCTTAAGTAACTTTGGAATATGTGTTTTGACTGGATATTGTAAGGTTAAAGACAAAAGGAAATGCACTGTATTCTAGAAGGCAAATTTCTCACAGGTGTACTGGGTTAGCAATTCTGAAACTATATGTGTACTAGGGCTGAAAATATAAGGAAATAAATTATAGATAGTGGGAGTTAGGTTTCTCACTGGCAGGGAAATAACAAACAAAAGGGGAAAGTTCTTTGAACTCTATGGGGCTGGATTAGGAGTTGGAGATATCGGTATGAACTCAGGTTGATTTTAAATATATACAGACACAAGTCACTATAGATACGTGTGTATATGTGTTGGTACACATTCATATGTTTCGTAGCTGTTTACTGATGTATATAAGCAGTGACACCCCAATAACAACAAGCACATCCAGCACTCAAATCTTAGATTCTAAATACTATTCTCCAATTAAAAGGAACAGGGTTCTTTGCAGAAATGACTGATTCTAGGACTGGGGCAGAAAAAATACAAGATGAGCCTGGGCATTTTGTAGTGCCAGAAAGTAAGGAAGGCTAAGGAGAAAAAATAAGGGCGTGCCAAAAGAACATGACTCCCGATGGCCAAAGCTGGAACACTTCAAGCAACAAAACAAATAATCATAGTATTAGATTGTCACATACAGAAATAAAATACTTATCTATGAGTCTATGCTGAAAAATGATTGAATAAATGGGGAAGAATGGACACAACTCCCTCACATTAGAATTATAAATAATTATATAGAAAGTGGAAATTAATTCTTCTCCTCTTGAGCACTGGTTGGATTTAGTGACTTGCTTCCAGGGAATAGAATATGAAATAAAAAAAATAAGTTTACAATGGAGAAAACCGGCAGATACCATCTTAACCAAGCGATTAAGGTTAACATCACCAGTAATAAGTCACGTTGATGTGTATACCCCGCTACAGTGTAATGAGAATGGTAACTCACCTCTGTGGTATTCTTCCCCAGAAAAGTATAATCTCAATGTAATCATGAGAAACGATCAGACAAACCCGAATTTACAGATATTCTACAAAATATCTAACCAGTACTCTTCAAAAATGTCAAAGTCTAGAAAACAAGAAAATGTTAAAATAAGGAGACGTGATGACTAAATGCAATGCAGTGACTTAGATAGGGTCCAGGAACAGAAAAGGGACATTAGTGGAAAAACTGGTGAAATCCAAATAAAGTCTGTAGTTAGTAGTATTATATCAATGTTAATGTTTTAGTTTTTACAAATGTACCATGTTCATATAAGGTATTAACATTAGGAAAAGCTGGATAAAGGGTATATATGAACTCTCTACTAACTTTGCAACTTTTCTGTAAATCTACAATTACTTCAAAATCTTAAAAAACTTTGGAGAATACAAAGAAATAAAAATATTCTACAACTCCTACTAGTTTGTATGTTATTTGTAAAATAAATCATTTTCATAATTCAAATATATCAAGACTTGTTCAGTGATGCAAAAAGAGAACTAAATACTACAAAATACCAGTTTATTAAGATTACAATCAGAAAGGTTTAATAAGCTCTGTATGTGTAACTAAAAGCTTTCAAAAACTTTTTTATCAGCACCACACTCTCCTGAGTGAGCCATGGGCCGGCCCGGCTCAAAAACTTTTTAAAAAGCTACTTTTAGATGAATAGAAGTTATCCTAATATCAGTTACTAAAGAGATTAATTGAAAAAACTGGCAAAAAATGTGGGCTTATTGTTTTTTTGGTGAAAGATCACCTTAAAAGGGTATATTTCTAATTTTCCCTCGACATTCAAATATAAACTGACCACACTCATTTAAAATCATTCTTGACCTAATTCTATATTCAGAATTTGCCAAATTTTAACTACCATTCACTATTTTAAGAATTGCTATTCGTCTTGAAAGAACTTAAGATTTAAAATGCGGAGGTGCGGGTGGGGAGGAAAACATACCTAAGCATCAGACTGTGTATAACTGGGAGGTGAGACTGGTGGGTTTTTTTTGCTTTTACCTTCATCTTCTATAGGGAGAGGATACAATATCATGCAGCATAATGTCGTTATTATTGACAGAATGAATATTGAACTGGTTTTACTTTTACTAAAGAACCAAGGTGAGGATGGCCACCACCAGCATTGTGGGCACCTGCAGTAAAGGAGCCAGCCCAGTGGGGTGCCGCCCAGGGCTACTGGGCAAAAAGAGACAGGGGGCTAATGACCCCCAGGATGTCTGGGAACAAAGGAATTCCTGCCTTCCTTGAATCAGACACTTTTCAAATGAGTGGGGACCATCCACGGAGCCATGGCAATAGTATATAAAGACCTGCAGTATAAGTTCTCCCTGAATGCACTGTGGTTACACTTACAATGTGCCCACGGTTGAAGTTCCTCACTCCCTGCTACCCCTGCAACTTGGACATCCAGGTTAACACCAGCATGGACCTCTTGAAGGATAATTGGTCTGCCCTGCATGACGTCAGGATTGTCCTACTTTCCATCTACAGCCTGTTAGATGCGTTAAACACAAATGCTGCTAAACTCTGGAACACCCCAGAAAGCAGGTATCCTTGACCCTGGCTGCCCAGCCATTCCCCATTATCTTTTCATTTTTTTTTCTTCAGGATATCCTTTCTTTTATTTGTTATCTTAAGCTGTGGTGTCATTTGTGTTTTGTTTGTTTTTCAATTGTCTTGAGTTGAGTCCTTGTATTGAATATATTAAATAAATACATTTGGCTTTAAAAAAATCAAGGCGTCTACTAAGGTTTAGAAGAACAACTATGGGGCCGGCCCGGTGGCACACTGCTACAGTGCGCCGCTTGGGAGCGTGGCGGCGCTCCCGCCGAGGGTTCGGATCCCACATACAGACCGGTTCCCGCTCACTGGCTGAGCGAGGTGTGGGAGCAACACCGAGGGTTGCGATCCCGTTGCCGGTCCCGGTCCGGTACGGGCGCGACACTGAGGGTTGCGATCCGTTGCCAGACACGAAAAAAGACAAAAAGGAAAAAAAAAAAAAGAACAACAACTATGTACTATCACAAGTATCCTTTATAGCTTTAAAATCTACAAAGACAATTACAAGAATGAAAGGATTTTAAAAGTAAATACTAATCCTAGGATCAATTACTACTGATTATCTACTACTATGTAAACAAGGAGGAAAACCTGTCGTTAAAAAATTGTATTTGGTCTTTGGGAATCCCAAGGAAAAAAGTAGATAATAAATTAGCTCAAATGTGTCTAAAAAAAATCAAGAACTCACTTCATAAAAGACTGATGGGGCTGGCTGGTTAGCTTAGTTGGTTAGAACATCAGCACCAAGGTCCAGGGTTTGATCATTGTACAGCCAGCTGCCAGAAAAAAAAAATAATAATAATAATAATAAAATTCAGGGCTGGCTAGTTAGCTCATCTGGTTAGAGCATGGTGTTGGTTAACATCAAGATCAAGAGCTCAGATTCTCATACCGGCCAGCCACACAAAAAAATTTTTTTTCTAAAATATACAGAATCATCTTTCTATTTTTGTTTTTGGCAGTTATAATATCAAATACCTTAAACCACTCTACTCCTCGACCTACACCAAAGTATACAGTGGTTAATAGCACCCTAATTGAACTAGAGGAACTACTAATCAAATCCTTCTTTGATGCGAATGTCTTAAATATATTTCTTTTTAAGTTTAAATTTTCAATTTTTTTAAGGCAGGAAACTGTATTTCACTTTTGAAATCAGACATTAATATATTAGAAAAATCCAGTAAATTGACATAATTATATAAAGCTGCAATTTTATGAGTGAAAATCTTAAAAGAGTCTTTGCAATAAACATATGAAAAGATAACATGCCACAGGAACCAATTATTTCACTTAACTCCCCCCAAATTTCTTGACAAAGAACATTCTATCCAATAGCAGAGATGAAAAAGAAGAAATAAAGTATTCTGGAGAAATAGAGTATCTTAAGGATATACTAAGACTTTTTCTTGTTCAGATCCTTAAAAATATATTCTTTTCCTTACAAATTTGTTAAGATTTCCTTTTAAAAATTGGTGGTTGTAGTGGGGACAACCACAGAACCAAAGAACTGAAAGTAAAGACTAATGTTTCAAAGGGCCCTGTAAAAAGGATAACAAAGCCTATACTTGTCATGGATAAGGTATATATAAGAGATTTAGAAAGGGAAAACCTACAAAACTGGATGTTTCGATTTATGCTCAGAGCTCAGAAATTATGGCCAACACATTTTCTGGATCTGTTAAAACTTTTTGTATTAGGTAACTTAGATATAAGGAAAAGCTAAGGACTACTTAGATTTTACAACTTAAAAACGATGGAAATAAATTTACAAAATATATTTACCTTCATAGTAATATATTTATAATACACTTCTGATAGATAATACCAACTAAAAAACAAGAACAAGAGTTAAAAGCAGGCCTCTTCCTATGTGTTTGACAGCAAACGTCTTCCCTGATCTTTATTTTCTGTAGTCTTTACTAGAAAAAAAACTTAGAACACACTGTACATAAACCATCTTTTTTACATAGAAGTATTAAAAATGAATGCTACCTCTTAAGTTTTAACTGGCCATAAATTATCAAGTATCCTGTTTTTTGAAACAGAAATCCAGGAGTCCACTATCATATGCAGTAAGACAACATTAATTAAGTAATGAGTTAATAAGAATACACTTAAATTTGATGCAAATTTAATTTTATTAAACCTTACAATGAATGTTGTGGCATATCATTTTCCACTGTGTGACAACTTATTGGCTGGCATCTGAATACAGTACTTCTTTTGAAAAATACACTATGGGAACTGACAAAAGGAGAGAAACTAGTTGTTTAGTGATACATGAGGGTAAAAAAAGAAAACAGGGAAGAAAGAAAAGAATGACATCCAATTAGTTTTAGTTTCCTTAGTATCTAACTCTAAAACAGTTAAAGTTCCAAGCAATAATGCTGCTGTTACAGTGTGTAAGAATATGTTATCTCATCCAGTTCCCACGATTCTGAGAAAATTAATTACAAGGATGATGATACTTGTAAATTCAGCCTAAGGTTTCTGCTGAGCAATATGATTTTAAAGAGCTACTTTTCAAAATATAACCTAAACAATTTTCCCAAGTCACAGTAGAAAAATATTGTACATTAAAGTAGTTGCTTTACAAGTGAGCAATCAACTAGCTTCAAGTCATAAAGGGCATCAAATTATCTGGGTCTGTCAGATTTATGGATAAGAAAAATGACTAGTTTTTCATTTACAATCCACTTGTCTTTATAAAGTCGGCTCTAATCTGAGTTAAATGACCTTTTTTGCACAGAAATGATCAAAATAATGGAACATCTTAAACTCAGCAGGCTGCAACAGGGTATTTTTGTAGAAATGTAATCAAAACATACACATTAACTACAGCCAACACCACCATGCTACACTGTACAGTTTAGTTTGGCTCAAAATTAGTACAATTACCTCAGTAACTATAAATGTATTTATTTGTAGTTGTAAAAAAATCACAAATTTAAGGATTTTATTTTATTCAGTCTCACAATTTTGAGAAAACTTTCTGATGAAGGCCTTAATAGTGTCTGAGGTCACATTTATAAGCCAACTTTACCTAAAATAGAATCACAGACAATTTTGAGTTATTAAACTAACTGATTTTTTCAACAGCTCCTAATGGCATTTGTGGGGGTGGCAAACAGAGAAGGGAAAATTGTATCCTAATTGAAATAAGGCATTTCAGTTATCAAGACTGAGGATTAGTTGTAAGTTATCTATTTTTAGTGGCAGAAAAATATTTCAAGAAATCTTTCTTTTGTACTGGGCACAATTCAAGTTCACCTGTAAAACAGTGTGAGACGTGTCTTACTCCAAGAGCAACTAAGCCCTCTCACCCACCCCCCCATAAAGGCGGGGGAAATATTAAATCACTTAAAAATCCAATTGTCATCTAATACAGATTTACCATACTGGCAAAGTTCTCCTTTTTTAAAAAAGTAGCTCATGCATATATAATTCTTATATCACAAGATTAGAGGCATATGATGTCAAAATATTGATGCTTGGTATTTCTAGAGTATCTAAGTCATAAATTAAAGTAGTCTTAATATAAGTGGCAGTTCAAATATTTCATCAAATTTGACCACAGTAAATGAGAGATAGTAAAGCCTCTTCATCAAAAGGTTGGAGAATGCTCATTTATATCCAATTCACCCTTTACAATGGTGAAAACAAATTTACAACATAGTAAAATGAGTAAAGATATATTTTAAAAAATTAAACTTCAATTATTTAACCAAAAAGTTAAAGTTCTTTTACCTGTTTATTAACTGTTCTTCGCTACAAGATCTTTAATTAAATAAAGATAAAGATAAACCTAATGTGACTGTTGGCAATGCTGACCCCTTAAATGGCATTACATCAACCCACAAAATAAAAAGTCAACACAAAAATCCAAGTGAGTGATCCAGCTCATTAAACTCACAGGTAAACGGAGTTTTTTTCACATCAATAAGGAGCTTTTTATTCAGAACAATTTCATTAAGACATTTGCAGGGCAAAATATGCCATCATTAATTTTATTCTGAATAACAATAAAGTGCTGAATAATAGTTACCTGAATCTTTTTTAGTACTTTTCATTTATTTTCTTAAGTTAAAAGAGCCCTTTCTGTGGCATTAGCAAATCTGTTAAAAAATGAAAAAGAAAAGAGAGATAGAAAGAGAGAGGCAGAGAGAGAGGAAGAAAAAGAAAGGCTAACTTTTGATAAGGGAATAGGAAGCATTGCAACCTTTTATTACTAGGGTGACAAATTATTGAAACCAAAGTAATTCATGCAAGTTATCTTTAAAGGTATACGTAAGCTTGAAGAAAGAAAGAAAACACTGTTACTGACCTTTGATACTATGGCAGTAAATTGCATACTAAAACACTTTAATTATCGTAGATGCCTAGATCTGGCTTGGCAAGCATCATGCCACTGACATGCTTTAGCTCTTTTTATAACTAACAGTGATTTGCAGTTCAATTACTGAATAGTTTAATGTGACTTGTTAAGCTGTGTTATAAACTTTGAGGTTAAGTTTAAGCAAATTTGCTACACCTAATCACACCATCAGCACAAGCAGGACAATGCTGGAGCAGCATGAAAGGTGGGTCACTTTAGAATCTTCCCTTTACTGCATGATATATTAAGATGACAGACCTAAATTTCAACTGGGTTAATGAGTTAGAATAGATTTGTTTCCCAAATTTAGCACACAAAATTTCAGTGTATTAGAGGAAAAAAACCCTCAGAAGTGAAGGGAAAAAAACAAAAAAGCTTGAGCTAAGATAGCTAACCTGCAGCTCTGAAAATTGTCATGCTACAAGAATACTATCATAAAATGAACTTTGTAACAAACTTAACAGTGTTTTGAGTTGAAGTTGACCAGCTGCTGCATAGAAAATATGCTAACATACAACAGTCAAGTTTAAGCCGGTGCATAGAGAAGATAAAGCACTTATGGTAACTACAAATGGTAACAAGTCCATCAAGTTTGTACAACCTAGCATGGGGTCCATAAGGGGAAAAAAACTGTAGCAGAAATGGTTAGGAAAAAGAAATAAAATGGAAACAGGCGAGAAGCTTGGGGAAGAGAAGTGAGAAAGAAAGGCCTTCAATTGTATAAAATTCACAAACCAGTAAAGTATAAAGACACCACTGAAAACAGTTAACTCTGTCCCAATAGCAAACAAAACCAGAATGGATAAGCCTTTGGCAGACAATTTTAGAAATCTGAATATGACATTACATTTCTCAATAATTCACAAACAATATATTATATGGTATATTTATATTAAATACTGGGAAACCAATCCTGTAAATTTGATGCTTATAATGCTTTAGCCAATGAGAGCATGATGATATCAAGCTAAATGAATGCTGGTGTTATCACAACAGTGCTCATTTATGAAACAACTGTTACCATTTCGTGCTTTAACAGTGCTAAAATACAGTCAAATTATCATCTATGAAGTGAAACAAAGGTCTCTAGCTTTTCTGGGATATGCCCTTTATAATATATTCTATGATTCACTATGACACGAGCAGCAAGACACTGCAATGTTGTATGATTTATGGGCTGGATCAAATTTTTAGCTATTTCCTTCTCGTCCAGCAAGTCACTAGCAGTTTGTTTGTGTAAATTTGTGGCATCGAAATGTGCACCTGATTTAATAAGGAGATTCATGATGTCTGGATGGTTGTTCAGAGCAGCGATATGTAGGGGACTGTTGTCATCGGAGTCTCTTACATTCACATCAGCACCACATTCTATCAGTGTAGCAGTAACTTGCAGAGATGGAAATTTACAAACAGGGTACCGCCCTACACATGTAGTATTCTTGTCCACAGCCAGATGAAGAGGGCTGAAGTTATTCTTTCCCCTTGGATGCAGCTTAAGAAATCTGTATATAGTCTGCTTTTTGAAATAGTCCTGTTCTAGTGTACAAGGAACTTTTTCTAACAAGCAAATCAAGTGCAAAATGATGGAAAGAGCCTTATTTAACTGTAATGGGTCAGCTGGACACTGAGTTTGTTTGATAGCTCGCTCTATTTCGAGGACACTTTTGCACAGTATGCCCATAAGATCATCAAACGTAACAGTAGTACCCAGAAGGCCCTTAGCCCTATCCTGTAGCATAAAGGAGAATAGTTCTGCAAAAGATAATAAGCTGCTGGCGGTCATTGGACTTAAAGGGTCCAAATTGTTCTGCTGCATATCCAAAGCATACTTCCACAGGTTGATGCATCGTTTGAAATTTCCAGAGTCTGCATAGACAGCGCCTCTATATCTAATATAGTAAGAGGTATCAGGATGAGAAGGACCAAGAATACGTTCTCTAATTAATAGTGCCTGCATTCTCATCTCATCAGGATCAGCAATAAGACCTTCTAGCTCTTCTGCACTGTTTACCTCCTTGGCATAATCATAAGCCATTATTAGTGTCTGTGGTACTGGTTTACTAATTATATTAGTCCTATCACTGTACCTCATGTTCATTGCCTTTTTCCAGTATTTCAAAGCCCCAAGTAGATCTCTTTTTTTGTCTACAAATGTAGCTCCCAGGAGCTCTAAAGCATTGATACGTTCTGTCTTGCTGGTCTGTGCATGGTGTGTCAGAAAATCCACAATATTTGTGTGACCAGTCACACTTGCTGAGAGAAGGGGAGTCATTCCATAACCATCCTTTTCCATCTTAGCACAATACATGAGAAGCATCTTCATGATGTCCAGACTTCCAGATTCTGCACAATCATGCAATGCAGTATTACCTTAAAGAGAAAGAGAGAAAAAAGAAATAAAAAATAAAATACTTTGAGAGACCAGGATATAACGTAATACATATATGTACTTTAGAACCTAAAGAAAAGCAGGCAGCTCCAAGCCACCCTTAAGAAGAGCATACTTTAATTTGATTACAAATGAGGAAGAAAATTATCCCCAGCACCCAAAACTAGTGTCTGATACATAGCAGGGGCTAAAGAAAATACTTGTTAAACCTGTTGAATAAATGAAATGACCAAATTTTGTATGAAGATATCCAAAGTCACCAGATGAAACTCAAAATTAATCAATCTATGGCTTCTTTGTATATTTCATTAATGTTTTCAAGTGTATATTCTATGACTAAAAATAAATGAGATAAAATAAAGCAGCTATTCAGTTTTGCTGACAGTCACTTAACTTTGTGTCAGCTTCCACATTTACAAACGAGGAATCTAGTCTTTAATATCTAAGATTCTTCAATTTGATTCTAATAGTAGTCAGAAATTGTTTTTTCACTCTTTGTCAAATGAACTTCAGCTGTTTTAGCCAAAATTCTTGGTAAAAGTACTTTCCTAAAAAAGTTTTCATAAGAGAAACAAGTCCACTGAAATCTGAAAAATAAGTGGGTGGTTCAATTATGAACTTGAAAAGGAGACATCTAAAGTATGCTTTCATAATGGATTATTTCCCATTGTGATTTAATTTTTTAAACATTCTTTTTAGATATACTAAATGTTCTAACACTGTCCTGTTCTTCCCACACATGGATTAAAACTGACAACAGGCATTGGCACATAAGTAAAAGCCCATGTGAAACATATTAAGACATTATAAGTACCAGGTATTTTACTTAAGTTTAATGATAAATATTTTACTAATTATCAAAACAGAAATTATCATGTAGACTTCTGATATTTACATACACCGTCTGCAGAAAATTGCAACAGTGAGTCATTTTAGGCATATCTGTAGAAAAGAGTTAACATAGCTGGCTGAGACTTTCTGGCTATCCCTTAGAAAGACCTACTTACAAGGTTGACCCCTGGCTGGCATTTGGGAACTTGCCTGATAAACAGTTCTCCACACTGATATAAAACTTTCCCTAAGTGATAATGGTGGCAAACTGTGATATCAAAAGTGATAAAGTACCAAAATGCAGTTTGTGCTGAATACCTGGTTTCCTTCTGGGAGTCTGAAATTTTGAATATGTACTAGGTAAAGGGTGACTTTTGTAACCAGTCCCCAATAAAGACCTTGAGCACTGAGTATCTCATGGGTTTCCCTGGGCAGAAACACTGCATACATGTATTTTCATTTCTGGGGAAGAATGTGTTCTGTACAATCCTTCATACAGAGGGAGGGAGCATAAAAAAGCCTGCACATATTCATCTAGACCTCACCTGAGCTTTTTCCCCTTATGATCCAGCTGTGTGTCCTTATTACATTGCTGTAATAAATCTTGGCCATAAGTACAAATGTATGATGAGTCATCTCCAAACGTGGGGGTGGCTTTGGGGACCCCCAACATAGTATGTATACCAGAAAGTGGTTTAAACCTAAAAACTTCAAAAACAAACCTACTTAACTAAAATAAGAAAAAACAAGTTATTATACATTTGGGCTTTAATCCTTCTACAAGCTTATCTTGTTTAGTTTTCCATGATATCTACGAGGACTTTATAATTATTCTGGATATGTTTATTATGACCGAAGATTTCATGGTCTATAATGAAATGGTGTGTGACAAAATGTTTTGGCAATGTATAAGGTAACCAAGCACTGAGAGCCCAAAACTTCTGACTACTGATGTTCATTTGTTCAAAATAACTTTTTAAACCCAACTACTACCAACTATATTTTAAAAACTCTTTTGAATTAAAAACCCCTACTATTCCCATTTTTTCTAAGGAATAGGCAATATAAGTAAAGAGTAATTTGAATATAAAGAAAAGGCTTAGATGGCATTCTTCTCTATTCACAGTAACATAAAATCAAGAATAAAAATGCAGCAAAAACCAGTTTTTTAATTAACTAAATTTCTATATTTATTGAGAAAATACAGAATATATGTATTTTGAATACACCCACATATTGGGGGAAAAGGGGGCTTTAAAAAAAAGAAGGAAGACTTTCATATCCAGCAATAGCCGAGGTAAAGTGATCACTCTCCCACTAAGAACTAAGAAGTCTGAAAAATATATTTTCAAAAATCTTACTGACAGCATTTAAGAGAGAACAAGGTGACAACATCTAGGAGAAGAAAGAAAACTAGAGAAATGCAGAACTTGGGGCAGCTTTCCCACAATGGCCTCCATATATTCTGGAAGAGACAGCTGAAAAACTGAGCAGAAGTTCTGACAGACTTGCAGGCTAGAGAAGAAAACTGGAGTCCATAGCCTACCAAGAAGGAAACTTTGAAAACTCCCCACACTTTGGGTTAAAGCTCTGAAGGACTGTACCCTAGGGAGTTAAGGTAAAATGCACAGACAAGTCATTACAGAAACTGAAATCCAATTTAAAATCATCTCAATATTGAGTTAAATATTCCAGTATTGCTAGTATACATAATCAAAAGCCAGAAGCAAATATAAATATTATTTAGAGGAAGATATTATCATATTAGGGCTCAAACTATTTTTTATATTCTTCATATGTAATGCTGGTACTCCATCAAAAATAATGGACAGAAGAGAAAACAAGAAGCCATAACACAAAAACCAAGAGAAATAAGAGCTGACAGAAAAACCCAAAAACAGATCCAGATAATGCAGTTACTGACACAGATTTTAAAATAATAATTATGCTTAGCATATTTAAAGACATTTTTTAAAAATTGAGAGTTCAGGGGCTGACCCGTGGCTCTCTCGGGAGAGTGTGGTGCTGATAATACCAAGGCCACGGGTTCGGATCCCATATAGGGATGGCCAGTTAGCTCACTGGGTGAGCATGACAAAACCAAGTCAAGGGTTAAGATCCCCTTACCGGTCATCTTTAAAAAAAAAAAATTTGAGACCTCAATAGAAAACTGGAAACTACAAAAAAAGAATCAAATGGACATTCTAGAACTGAAAAACTCAGTGAGTGAATTCGAAAGTCAATTACACACAGCTGAATAGAGAATTAATGAACTAGAGGACAGATCACAATACACAGAAAGAAGAATGGAGTGGTGAAAATTTGGAAAACCAGGAGATTGTAAGAGAGTGGAAACAATGTCAGAAAAGTTAACATACTTAAAACCAGAACCCTAGAGGAAGAAAATGGGCCAAAAGCAATATTTAAAGAGATAAAGTCAGAGAATTTCCTAAAGCTGATAAAAGATTAAACTACAAATTTAATAAGTTTTACAAACTCCAGAAGGATAAATAAAAAGAAAACCAAATTGAGGCACACTACAGTAAAACTGCTGAAAACTAAGGACAAAGAGAAAAATCTTAAAACCAGAGAACAGGTAGAAATTAACTGCAAAAGAGCAACAATTAGACTAACAGCCAAGTTCTCACCAGGAACAACAGAAACCAGGAGACATGATATTTAAAAGCACCAAAGGAAAGTAACCTCCATCTCAGAGTTCTATACCCATATGTTTCAGGTTAAGAAAGAAAAGAAAAAGAAAAAACTAAAATATTTATTACTCGCAGACCTAAGCATTATACGGTGTTCTTTAGGCAGCAAGATGAGCCACAAGGAAGCCTGGAGATGTGGGCGTAAACTTGAACAAAAAGGTACATTTGTGGGTAAACCTAAAAAAACCCCTTAAAGATAATGTCATGTAGGGTTTGAAATACATATGGAAGTAAAATAGTTGACAGCAATAGCATAAAAGAATAGCATAAAAGTAAGGAGGATAACTGGACTTAAATTGTTCTAAGATCTCTGCATTGTTGGGAAGAGGTAAAATTAGAAATTTATGTTAGCCTTTGATAAGTCAAAATGGTACTATATAAGGTAACCACTTAAAATAATAGCTGGAGGTTATGTACATAACTACTGCATTTTCTTGAATATAGAGAAAAAATAAAAATCCAAAAGAAAGGAAAAAAGGAGAGACAAAGGAACACAAAATGGGTAAAACAAATAAAAATCAAAATATAGCCAGACTAAAATTCCAATATATCAGTAATTTAATGTTAAGTGAATTAAATGGTCCCATTAAAAGACAAAAACTGACAGCAAACACAAATAGAAAACTCAAGACACCTGTTTACAAACAGATACACCTTAAATATAAAGATAAGGCTGGAAGTGAAAAGATAGAAAAAATACACCCTGTGCAAAACCTAACCATAAGAAGTATCTGATATTAAAATATCAAAGTGAACTTTAAAGCAAAATGAATAATTAGAGATAAAGGGAAGCATTTCATTATGATATAAAATACAAAACACAAAGATACAATAATTCTAAATTTGTTTTCACCTAATAACATAGAATTTGAATTATATAAAGCAAAAATCAACAGAACTACAAGGAAAATCAGACACATCCACAAACATAGTGAACACGCCTCGCTCAGTATAGAAGACCAAAACCAGTAAGGATAAAGAAGATTTGAAAACAATTAACAAACTTGACTTAACTGACATATTTATAAGAACACTGGACTCAACAATTGTAGAAAATTACACTTTTCCAAGGATATATAGAGCATATGCAAATACTGACCATATTCTGGGCCATAAAGCAAGTCTCAACAAATGTCAAGGGGCTGAAACCACTGAGTATAAGTCCACAATGCAATGAACATAAGATATCAAAAACAAAAAGATAACTATAAAAATCTCTGTATATCCGAAATTCAAAAATTCACTTCTAAATAACCCATGTAGTCAAAGAAAAAAGTCCAGTGGAAATTGGACAATATTTTTAATTGGATGACAATGAAAACACTAAATAACAAATCTTGTTGAATATGGCTAAAAACTGTGTTCGGAGAGTAATGTACACCCTTTTAAATGTACATACAGTTAGCTCTTCGTATCCATGGGTTCCGCATCTGTGGATT